GAAAATGTGCCGGGCACTTGACAGGCATCATCCCACTAAATGAAGCACACGGAAGCTGAGGCGCGTGACGTGACACACCCCAAACACAACCAGTTGGTGGAGCAGGACTCAACACGGGTCTCCTTGCCTCCACCGCTTGGCCACACTCTCCTGCCTTCGGGAATAATCCTGGACACACGGCTGATGATAATCTCCCTACAGAAACCTTCAGACCTAAATTTTATCTCCAATACGTGGCATACAGAACCCTGCAGTTTCTACCAAGTACTTAGCAGATTAACAGCTCCTTTTAAAGAAAAAATAATTACCTTCCTCAACAGCACACTGCTGGAGGAGGGGCGGGTCCTCCAGCAGCAAGGAATGCAAATCAGGCTCTCAAGCCTGAAGAGAACTCAGCCCTGCTTCCTCCCGAGCCTGCAGAACCTTCTCCAATTAACACCGCAGAAGTCTGATACTCCGGGCAGAGAGCTCAACCATGAACTGATTAGTATCCAGCTCTTGCCAAAGGCTCATTTAAGACATCTGATAGCAGGGAGAGATGGCTTAATATGCAGATTAACGAGTCATTCCGCTAGACTCTCTAAGTTTTCGCCATCTACTAGATTGGTTCAACACAAAGCAACATTTGTCCCCTACAGTAATTCAGCTTCTTACAGAAACTCCTTCACACACTTAAGATTTATGCCCACAGCTTTTATAGAGAGTGGATCTAAGAAGCATCCATTTAAACAATCACGGAGGGGCTTTTGTAAAACGGCGGCTGAAAGCACTGTCCATTATGTCATCCAATGCCCCTAAAATAAAAAGCACATGATAAATTCAGTGCCAAGAAAAAGTTTGTGTCTCTGCAGTTTGTTTTCCCTCCTCGGTGGAGAAGCTGTAATCTCAGCTCTGTTTAAACCTCTCTTCCACTCTTCTTAAACCTCGGAGGCAAACTCAGTGCTCAAGGGCAGTAACTAATTTGTCCCAACCACCTTGCGATATCTAAGATTTTTCTTTACCCCTTTTGATCTTATTTTTATGACTCTTGCTTTAAATTGTGCTCCATTTTGCAAGCCAACTTAAATCTGTTTGTTTTCCCCTCTCCTTCAAAGTAGGACACAAATCCTAAGTGGAAGAGACTTTTTCTCAGCCTCTAAAATTTTTTACTCATCACGAAGCTCCTGACTGCTGTGCGGGCTCCTGGATTTGCCAGCCACATTCACACCCCGGCCCTGATGTTTTCCGGGTTGGTGCAACAGGCACTGGAGAAGACCCCAGTCGGCTTCAACACACTCGCCTGCCTCCATGCGGCAACCCCAAGCAGAGGAGGACAAGAACTGCCCGGCTTCTGCGACTCTGTGCTCTGCAGTCTCCTAGGTGAAGCGGATCCCCAAGGCTGAAAACACTTGACCTAAGATGACAACAGGGTGGACAGACTGGATCCTGGGCTGTCATTCTCTCCCAGCTGTCCTAAATGTCAAACCACAGATCAAGCATTAACCTGTAGATTCTGTTTTCCAAAGACGGCCATGGCCTTTCCCATTCCATGTGCCCGTCTGCGGTGTGACCTTGCTGCCACAGAGGGGGCTTCTTTCTCCACTCCTTTTGACCCTGAGTGGACTCCGGACGGATAGGACTGATACAGACCAGCAGAAGTGATCGTGTGCTGGTCCCAGGCACAGTCTGTAAGTGGGCCAGCAACTTCCGCTTCTTGCCCTTTGGGAGGCACCTGCCGTGTAAGATATGGGACCATCCTGAGAAGATCGTGCTGGGAGATGCCCAAGCCACGGAGTGGGGGCCTGGGGGAGGAGATGCATGTGGGGCAAGGGAGGCCTGGGAGCACAGTGCCAGGTGCACAAGAAAGCCATCGGGTAGGGGCATCCGCAGCCCCAGTTGTCCCCATGTGTATAAGAGATGGGGTCCTTTCTTAATTCCTGACCCTCAAAATCATAAGCAAAATAAAAGATACTGGTTCTCAGATGGGGACAGAGTTGGTACCGGACTCACAGGGTTATTTATTTAGGGCAAGTCCTGAGCCTAGTGCCTGGCACACAGTAAGTGCTCAGGAAGTAGCCTACCAAGTAGCAACATCGAGTGGGTGTGTCACACCTGCCTCCTTCTCAAGCATTCTTCTGTGACAATATTCCATAGTCGCATAACCTAGCATGGCACACGACCTACACAACAGAGTGCTTGGCAGGTCACCTGTCTTTCTGCCATTTTTTACCTCTTCTCAGACACTGCCCAGAGGCCCCACGTTGTGTCTGGCCTGGGATTCACACGCACATCCATGTGTTACACACTTGGAGGCCACAGGCTAGTGGCAGGCCAGGGCCCTCGGTCTCTTGGGGGGCCATGCAGCAAGGTCTGCTGATGAGCCTCCAGCCAGCGCAATTGTGCGAGTCACAGGCACGAGCAAGGAAGAGATTTAAGAGGAAAAGAAAGCAGGTTTTCCTACCACACACACACTCCTGGAGGGTTTACCCACGGGCCAATAGCTCTGAGTCATCTACGAGTCAAATATTCCTGCTTTCTTCACAATTCCGGTTTTCCTACACACACATCTTACAACGTAATGCATGTGTCGATTCTGGCTGATCTACCCATTCAGCCAACACCATCGAGTGCCTATTCTGTGCAAAGCACCAGGGAGCCAGGGTTCTGAGCTTGGCAGCAGCAGTGAGAGTCAAGCACATGGGTGACTGGCACCACAGCGAGCCAGAAACTCCTGGGGAAACAAGCCACGGGGTCCTTAGGATGGGAACGGAGCCTCTGCCACAATTTAGTCTCTCCATTTCTTTCCACTCTCTGGAGAGCACAGCCCCCGACAAACCCCTTCTAGTTAAAAGAGCCCACCCCCTCCCAGAGTCCCCCGCTGCTGACAGTCCCTGCATCTCCCCCAGGGTACGCCCCGATCAATGCACCAGTACTTCAAAGAAGCCCTCAAATTGGAGTGCAGGCAGCACTTTCAAAAAAAAAAAAAAAATCCTGGAGCTGGGATTCGGAATTGACGGCGGAGGGGTGCGGGGAGCCAGCGCTGGGCTTTGACAGCGCCACACAATGCACAGAAGATCAGAGCTGTGAGGCAGATTCAGCTCCAGAGATGAAAACTCCTCTTTTGGTGCTGACAACATCTGTTTTATTTTGAAGGTTGCTAAGGAGAGTTCTGGCTGGGCCAGCATTGTTCCAGTTCAGTACTTCATGGTGAGTCTCCTGCATGGGATTTAGACGGCAGGAATAAAAGCTCACCAGACAAACCCGCTCCTTCTCCTTTCCACCTATCAAAGGATCACTTTGCTAACAGGAACCCTCACATCCTGCCTGGTCTCCACTGCAAAACGGGCTGTCTCTTCTGCTTATTTTTTTTTTTAGAATTTGTTTTTATTTATTTGCAAGGCAAGACAGACACTGGTAGATCTTTGGCTTATTGGTTCACTCCCCAAATGCCCACAACAGCTGTGGTTGCACCAGGCCAAAGCCAGGCCTCTAGAATAGTATTTAAGCGACCACCTGCTGCCTCCTAGGGTGCACAGTAGCAGGAAGCTGGACTCAGAAGTTAGGCCAGGTCTTCAACCCAGGCACCCTGACAGGGGATGCAGGTATCCCAAGGGACAGCTTAACCTATGTGCCTGCCCCACCTGCCTTTTTTCCCCCCTTTTTATAATTTATTTCCTTGAAATGCAGAGTTACAAAGAAGGAGAGACAGACAGAAACATCTTCCATCTGCTGGTTCACTCCCTAGATGGCTACAACAGCCAGGGCTAGGCCAGGCTGAAGCCAGGAGCTTCTTCCAGGTCTCCCATGCGGGTGCAGGGGTCCAAGGACTTGGGCCATCTTCTACTGCTTTCCCAGGCCATAGCAGAGAGCTGGATCAGAAGAGGAGCAGCTCAGCCTCAACCTGGCACCCAAATGGGATGCTGGCACCGCAGATGGCGGCTTAGCCTGTACCAGCCCTTCCACTTGCCATCTTACTGTTCCTCTCCCTGCCCCCTCTGGTCTTACTTGCAAACTCTCCATCGTTGGCAAACCAAGGCTGACTAGGGAGAGCCGGCCAGATGGGGCAGACACTATTATCTCCTCAGCACAGATCCCAGTGCAGAGGTGAGGCAGAGCTGCGGATGAGCTGGAGTTCACGGTGGGAGGTCATTTACCATCAGAGGAGGAAAGGCCTTCAAGATCTGTTCGCCTCCCAGTACTCAGAGCAATGCCAAACGCCTTCCTCAGGGAAGACAGAGGAGTGCTGATTGACAGGCCTGTCCCATCCCCACAGGACGGCTGGTGGGAAGTGAAGCTCTCCTCACCCCGCTGGATCCCAGCCCTCCTAAGTCTACTCACAACGACACAAAACAATTAGGAAAAGGTGGTGACAAGCTTGCCCAGTGGGCAACCAAGTGGGACAGAGATGGGAAGACGGGCGTGGCGGGGGACAGAGCAGCCAGCCATCTTCACAGACACGACGCGCTACCGGGCGGCTAATCCTGAGCGGCCCCCTGCTCCTCCCCGGGGATCATGTCCGGGCTGAGCGCACCCAGGAGAAGAGGCCCCTCCCCACAACTGGTGTCTGCAAACACAATCATCCAGGGATTCCAGGGTATTAGTGGAAAAAATTCCATCAACCCAAGGAATTCTCTTTCCGAAGCGGCCTTGGGAAAAGCACCAGCTCTGGTCAGGGAGCAGCCAGGAGTCTAGGAAGAGGAGGGAGGAACGGCAGATTCTCTGTCTAACAACAATCCATTCCCCAGGGCTCCGAACCTGCACATCTCAACAACAAAGGATGCTATATCCTCTCAGATGAGGGTGTTGAGACAACTAAGGCCTTCTTATCTGAACATCTCCCTTGCCTGCCGGACTCCGCTGCAGCCGGTTTCACCTGGGATTCAGCTGAGCTAAAGAATGCTCATCCTGATAGAGCGAATGCCCAAATAACACACAACGCTGAGTGCCCAGACTCCTCCGGAAAGCACAAAGGCCAGAGGCAACTGGGGAGGAGGCCAAGAGCCGTGCTTCGGACCACTCACCTAGCCAGGTCACGCCCACAGCGGCTGCAGCAGACATGGCCTCTGCCACCTTGTGCCAGCTCCTGTTGTGGCCTGGTACCCAGAGTGCCACATGGCAGAAATAGTAGCCAGAGTTTTCTTTGCTAACATCTCGAACCAGTAAATGGTAGGAGCGTGCGTCCACGTGACTCAAAGCAACGTGAGGGGAGCTGTGCGCCAGGGAGTCGCGGTCCAGCCGGGCCAGCACGCGGGGCCCGGGCAAGGTGCTGTCCGGCGTCCTGCTGTAGTACCACGTCACCTCGGGCCGCACGTCGTCTGCTCGGTCCGTGGTGATGTTGCAGGTCAGGTCCAGATCCTTGCCTTCAGCCACAGACACGTTCCTGGGCACCGATGTTCGGAGAACTTGGAAATGAAAAACAAATACATCTAAATGATTGGGACGACATTTTCCCCACCCACTTTCCTTTTCAGTTCCTGTTCCTGGCACCAACATTAGAAGGTTTTGGACAGCTGTATTTGCAAGATATTTAATGAATAAATTCATGAAGCATATATTTTTTTCTCAAAAATGCTAACAGCAGCATACACTTATATACACCTACTTTACGCCAAGCAGTATTCTGAGTGCTTTAGAACGATCAACTCTCAAAGTGACCTTTGAGGTGGGAACTATCATCGTCTTAAAGGAAACTGAAGCACAGAAAAGCTAAGTAACTTCTTGAAGGCGACACAGCTAATACACGGTAGGGTTGGGGTCCGACTCTAGGCTAGCTGCTTCCAGGAAATATGCTCTTGACCTTTTTTGTTTTTTAAGGATTTAATTTTTTTGAAAGACAGAATGACAGAGGGAGCGAGAGAAAGAGAGATCTTCCATCTGCTGGTTCACTCCCCAAATGGCCGCCAGCAGCCAAGACCGGGCCAGGCTGAAGCCAGAACCACATCTGGGTCTCCCACGTGGATGGCAGGGACCCAGGCACTGGGCGTCCTCCACTGCCTTTCCAGGTGCGTTGGCAGAGAGCTGGATGGAAAGTAGAGCGGCCAGGACTTGAACCAGCACTGTGGTGTGGAACATGGATGTCGGCGCTGCATGTGGCTGCCTAACCCACTGCACCACAACAGTGGCTCCTGCTCTGCCCTGTATAAGTCTGCCGAACATCACGAAACTGAAATTACACTTTCTCTGTGTGCATGATCAAAGCGGGTGATTTTGCAGGAAAAAAGGGCAATGCAGTTCTTTTAAAAAATGTTTTTATTTCTTTATTTGAGAGACACAGGCCCAGACACAAGGAGAGATCTTCCATCTGCTGGTCCACTCCCCAAATGCCTGCAGCAGCTGGAGCTGAGTCACACTAGAGCTGGGATCCTGGAACTCAATCTGGGTCTCCCATGTGGGTGGCAGGGACCCAACTACTTAAATCTGCTGCCTGTCGGGGTGCACGTTAGCAAAAAGCTGAAATGGGAGGCAGAGCCAAAACCAGGCTCTCCAAAATGGGATGTGGGTGTCCCAAGTAGTGGCTTAACTGCTGTACCAAACACCAGCCCCGACAACTTAGTTCTGACTGCGACCCACACATGGTGTCTACTGGGGCCTGGAAAACAGGGAAGGAGGTGCCAATGAAACCAATTTACGCATAAAAAGGGAAAAGTCCTAAGAGAAGGGCCAGGAAAGTAAAATCAAACAATTTTCCTTATGAACAAGTCTTCAACATGTAATGTATTTGGAATACCATTTATTTCAATAGACATACCCACCTAAAAGTCAAGCATCTGACATACATCCTGAAACCAAAACACAATGGTCTTTGGATTATCCATGCTACTGCTCTCTCTCATTAGCGTGGATAATTAAAAGCCAACTATATTTAGACAAAGCACTGAAGTGTTTGGTGTCAGAGACTCAAGGCAGATCTAGTTTCAGCATTCCCCTGTTGAAGCTTTTTACATGGAAACATTTTCCTCTATTCAGAGGGTTTTGAAAACGAAGTTGAACATCTGTAATCAGAGTAGAAAAACATTCAAGTCGTGATAATGGTGTGGGAACAATTACTTAGGTGTTGAACGGCTAACACCTCCCAGAGGATTTAGGTGGAGGTGCGGCCCTGGCCTTCCAGCAAAGAGCGGTCAGAGTCAACCACTGCTCCACGGTGGCCCAAGGACAGAGGCCGGAGCCCAACTCGGAAAAGACCTTTCACCTGCCTGACAACATTTCAAGCCAAGTTCAAGAATGCCCTTGAGAGGTAACAGAAAATGCAATGGACAAAGTATTAGAGAAAGGAATTTAAAAGTCCAATCTCAAAGTTGGTGCTGTGGCATAGGTTAAGCCTCCGTCTATAGCACCAGCATCCAATATGGGCTCCAGTTCAAGTACCAGTTGCTCCACTTCCAATCCAGCTCTGCTAATGCACTTGGGAAAGCAGAGGAAGATGGCCCAAGACCTGGGGCCCAGTAACCACGTGGGAGACCCAGATGAAGCTCCTGACTCCTGGCTTCAGCCTGGCCCAGTCTGGCTGTTGTGGCTGTTTGGGGAGTGAACCAGGGGATGGAAGATCTTTCTCTCTGTAACTCTGCCTTTCAAACAATTAAGTAAATCTTTAAAAAAACAAAGCCTAATCTCTCCTTTCACCCACCCTCCAAATGCTTCTTCCTCATTCACCATTTTCAAGGGGCCAAAAGTAACCTGATGGTAGCTTTTGAGAAGATTCAGAATGGAAGCTGCTGCCCAGAGCTGGGTTCTATAGCTTGAACCACTCTGCACACAGCCCCTGTGGTCATGTTGTGGGGTGGCTGGGTCCACATTCTTGTCTTTGACGCAAGAAGGAATTCAAGGATGAGACACAAGTAAAGGGCAGCAGAGAAGCAAGATTTATCCATGAGAGCGAGAGCGAGAGAAAGAAAGAGAGAGAGAGAGAGAGAGAGAGAGACACGCACTCAACAGGGTTTAGATCCATCCCTTTAAATCACTGGGAGGCATAGAGGGTGGGCGGGGCTTAATTGAATATTCAAAGGGCAGAGTTTGGCGTAGGGCTCTAGGGCTGCCCATTTCCTCGCCTTTTTTTGGAAATCTCGTAAGTTTCATGGCATCAGGTGCATCATAGGAGCGGGAGTGTCAGCCAGGGTCACTTTAGTAGAGCAACATTAAATGAACTAAAGTTCACTGCATGGAAGCAACTGGCAGCCATAAAGGATATTTTTAACCAGTGAAATTGCAGAAGATGCGGTTTTCTGCTGCATGGAAAGAGGTGGGTCTGGACAGGAAAGGCAGGGCTGCAGGTGGGGGCCGGCCACCTCAGCTCCTTCCTAGCCACCTCCCTGCCTACACCAGAGCCCCCTGGGGTCCTTGCTGGAGTCACCTCTACTGGGCTGACAGTTTATGGAAGGAAAAGATCTTGGGAGGGAGTGGGGCCAGTGAAGAAGCCGTCAACATGCAGCAGTGGCCTGTGAGCTTGGAGATAATAGTTTTCAGGTTCTAGAAATACAGGCAAGAGAGTCTCTAACCATGTAGTGCACCTTGTAATTTTCTCTGTACAAGTGGCTACACATCTGCTGCACCCCTAGCCATAGGTCCCACACATCCTGGATTCAGGGGTTTACTGGTAGGGGACAGGATGGAGCAGGCTGAAGGGGAAAAAAAGAAGCAGTTCTAAGGATCTGTAAATGCAGCAGGGGCATGAGACAAAGGCGCCAGTGGTGCAGGCTTTCTCCCACGGACTGTAACTGAATTCATAAATTAGGCAGCAAGGTCTGCAACACTCAGACCACAGGTAACACGGCTTTGTTGTTTCAGGGGCTCTGTGCTACTGATCTTAACAAAGCGGTCAGGACACAGGAACAGCAAGGTAGAGACGGTGCAGACGCTGACAGGAAGAGAACACCATAACCTGGTCCACAAAGAGAATGGGGGGAGTCTGTGATCTTCAGTGGACGACACATGGGATCCCACCTTTCTCTGCGTTACCCTTACCTGCAATACAGCATCTGTTCTCACTGTGAAAGCAAGAACAAGCCAGTGTAGCGTTACCTGTCTCTGGGACTCTGTCCCCAACAGAAATCACACACATCTTCTCATCACATCATAGCTGTTGCAGACGCCCTGAAAAGGCGTTCCCATTCCCTGCTGCTTAGAAATCCCTCTGGTGGTTAGGTCTGCCACTGTATCTTATTACGAATGCATTAACAAAGAAGCATAACATTACTAAAAGCAGATTTGTCTTAAAATATTTTGAGAGCTAGTTCAACGTGATTGCTCTCCTTTGCTGGCTGTGTATTGTGCTTTACAAACTACAGCATGCTTACTCTGAGACAGGGTCTGTGGGCCTCCAAAGACCATGAAAGAAATCCATGGCACAAAAGAATTGGGAGCCCCCCCACCCCCCCACAGGTCTCGGGTGAGAGCCAGACGCCGTTGCCTGCCTACGTGTTGCCCAGTGCCCCAGTCTTACAAAAGGATATTATGGGCTTTGAGGTGTGTTCAAAATGGGGAAAAACAAAACAAAACAAAAACATCTTTACGACTGAGATTCCTGCACAGGAAGACAACGCGCTGCAGAGCTGCAACTCTGAATCCCTCCACCTCACTGAAAGCGTCTCACGCAAGCTGAAAAGCTGGAGCTTTCTCAGGGCGGGTTCCAGGCACATCACCATGCCAAGACAGGCAGCCTGAGCCCACCGGCCAAGCGGTTTCTGCATGTGGGGCCAAGACTGACCGCCACTCTCTGCGATGACCGAGCACTTAAGAACTGGCTTTCAGCACCCACTTCTACCAGATACAGCTCCTGTGCGCTCAGGACGGTGCAGCCTACAGAGACCAAACGCTCGCTGTGCACACTGTTTCTGCCTTTCTTCCCATCTGGGCAGCAGAGCAGCCACACGCACATTCCTCTCAGGAAGTGAGTCCAGCCAAGGTCTTCCCAGTTGCAGATACAGGAGGCAGCCGCAACGGCAGCAAAGTACTCTGGGAGCTGAAGAGACTGGACTCCCAGGACACCCGGCTCATCCACCCAGCCCCAGCAACGACACTGCCCTGCAGTGGTCTCGTCACACTTTGTCTCTGCTGAAGCTGCAAGCTCCATGGGGCCTAGGAATGAGACTCCAGCTCCTGGGATCCCAGGGCCCGGCACAGAGCTGAGCCACAGGAAGTTCTCCATCAATGCCTACTGAACAGTGAGTCCACAATGGCTTCAAGTTCTTATTTGTTTAAGTGTGTTTTCTAAAATGCATTTTCTACTTTCTTAATTACTTCTGCAGCTGCAATGGGGGGAGTTTAAAAAAAAAAGACTGAATCCCAAGACAAAGAACTTCTTGTAGAAACCCCAAGCCCTGGGGCCAACACTGTAGCACAGCAGGTTGAGCCGACGCTTGAAATGCCAGCATCCCCTACAGGTACCAGTTCAGGTCCGGGCTGCTCCACTTCCAATCCAGTTCTGTGCTAATGCACCTGGGAAAGCAGCAGCAGATAGCCCAAGTGCTGTGTCCCTGCACCCTTGTGGGAGGCCAGGAAGAAGCGCCTGGCTCCTAGCTTTGGTTTCAAATAAACAAAATAAATCTTTAAAAAAGAAAATAAAGAAACTCCAAGCCCGGATGCCTCTGGGGTGTGGATGACACAGCAAAGCACCAAGAGGCCCAGCCCTAGACAGCACCTCACCCAGCAGGGGAGGGCACGCCTAAAGGGCCCCAAAAGCCAGCCCAGAGGATCTTGGTCATGTGAGAAGCTTTGCAGTGAGCACGGATCAACCAGTGGCTGCGGGCAAAGGCAGATGCAGGGACTAAGGACAGCAAACAGATAAAGTTGAGGGGACAGCGTGTGAACAGACACACCTCAAAGCCCCTCTGTGCAGCAGGTGGGACCTCACTCTGGTGCAGGGACTGATGGACATGACCTCTGGTGGAAGGCACTGCCACAGGGTTACCGGGGCACTGCAGAATGTCTGCAGAACACGGAGTTAAAGCAGCAGGCAAGGGGCAGCAGTGAGGCTGCTGCTCGGGACGCCCGCAGCCCCCGTCAGAGCGCCTGGCTTTCAGCACCAGCTCCTCTGCTTCTTATCCAGGTTCCTGCCCCTGTGCAGCCTGGGAGGCAGCAAATGATGGTTCAAGTACTTGGGTTCCTGTCACCTGGGCTTCTGGCTTTGGCCTGGCCTCATCCCAGCTGTTGTCATTTGGGGAGTGAATCAGCAGATGGAAGATTTATGTCTTTCTGAGTGTCTCTCTTTCAAATAAATAAAAATGAGTAATCTTTTTTAAAAAGGCAAGTTTTTTTTTTTTGGTTGTATAAAACAATTTTCAAATCCATGCATTCAAAGAATTCAAAAAGTTGATGGAAGTACATGTTATGAAAAAATTACGCATGATTTCAAAAATTTCACACCAAAACAAATGTACTTTTTAATTACATTTTCCATGAACTTTCTGGCATACTTTCACATATGAGCTACAGCTCCCCACGGGCACAAATTCAGACAAAAGCAGCTGCAAAGCAAAACTGAGCACATAGCACAGAACAACGTGCCCCTCAGCAAACTGCAGAGAACAAATGCACCCTTCACCAAACTATCAGTACCACCCGGCTCCTTGCACCGTCCACCGGAAGTGGAAATAATCACTGTCAGAAAAAGATGGAGCTCCCTGGCTAGTTCTTCACCCCATCCATCAGTGTCACCAAGCAACACACAGTCTGCAGTACAGCCTTCCCAGGCGCTCACCTGTTGGCTGCATCACCACGGTGGCTACCTCCACGGCCTTTTCCTGGATTTCTTGCCAGCTGCCCTGCTCTGCAATCCACTCGCTGACAACGCACCTGTAGGTGCCCTGATCGGCGGACAGCGCTCGGGACACGGAGAGGCGGTAGGCGTCGCTGCCGGCGGTGTCTAGGCGCACGTCCCCACTGTGATAGCGCTGCTCGTAGCCGGGGCCCGGGCGGAACCTGCCCTCGTGGGTCAGAGCCAGGACGCTCCGATGGGCGGGGCCGCGGTGCAGCTCCCACAGTACTGCCAGGTGCGTGTGCAGTGGCGAGGCGGAGGAAGCTGTGCAGCGCAACTCGAAGGGCTCGCCTTCCCGCAGGCTCAGGCTGGGGGCGGGCCTTGCGCTTGGGCCCAAGTGCAGGGCGTCGGGTAGCACTGTGGGGAGAGAAGAGTATGAGCCAGCTGCTCACAGCACCCTTGCAGCAAGGGCCACACCTGCCAGGATGCCCTGGTCGTCAGCTATGACCACGGCTGCAAACGGAGACAGACTCCTCCTCTTCTACTCATCTGTGATCTCAACTGACTTTCTGACTTGAAGCAGGACCAAAAAAACCAGACGCTAATAAAACCACCTGGCAGCACAGGATGGCAAAGACTTCTTTTGATGACGTCTCTTCACCCCTGTGCCTCACCCCCGTGCCTCAGTTTCCTAAAAGGGACTTAACAGCCAGACAGTCCTCAGGGAGCTGCTGTGAGACTGGAGGGTGTCAAAGAGGACAAGGTGTCAGGATGGTGGCCGGCACCTCGCAGTCATGATAAAATGACAGGATGGGACAGCCAGACACCCCTTGTGTGAGGACACAGGGCTGCGGGAGGGAACCTGCCCGGTCTGCAAGTCAGGAGTTAGGACGGCGGGAGCTGCCCGCGGCTGGAGGCCTGGGGCAGGCACCCGCGGGGCAGCGGCCAGCCAGGGAGAGCACAGGACTCTTCGGCCTCAGAGCCTGGGGAAAGGCAGCCTCAGGGAGAGCTATTAGGAAGAGAAGTGGGGGCCGGTGCCGTGGCTCACTAGGCTAATCCTCCGCCTTGTGGCGCCGGCACACGGGGTTCTAGTCCCGGTCGGGGCGCCGGATTCTGTCCCGGTTGCCCCTCTTCCAGGCCAGCTCTCTGCTGTGGCCAGGGGAGTGCAGTGGAGGATGGCCCAAGTGCTTGGGCTAAGACCCATAAAACTTGGGACCATGCACAGAGCCTGCCAGAGACTCCCCCTGGGCAGCCAGCCAAGCTCTCTCATGATCACCCACCTGCGTTCATGAGCTAAGCCTTGCTCCTCCTCCTTCTCCCAGAGACTGCAGAAGAAATGGAACCACTCAAGGGGTGGGGGGAATTCTGCTGCTACTCTCCCCCTCCAAAGATGGAGATCGCAAGGGAAGACAAAGGCACATCTGGCCTAATAGAGGTGTGACATGTTGCATTATTTAACGCCAATGTGAGCAGGTCTTATGGGACTGTTTTATTAAAAACATACTCAGGATTCTCTACAGCTGGGAGGGAGCAGTCACAGAGGAGATCTGAGGTTTCCAGGTTTTAATACCTACTGAACAGACGTGGCCACTCTGTCCCCTCGCCTGCCCAGTGAGCGAACAGCATCTGAGAAATGGGAGGGTTCAACAAATCGCTACAGAGGGAATGAGTGCCCGGACCAGCACTGTCTTTTTATATCATCATGCGCATTTTCTGCATTCCTGATAATTATATCCATTGCTACCCAGATATAATTTTCAGGGGGAATACGGCAAGGCACAAATAAATGCATAATTGGGTAATAATAATAATCTTCTATTTTGTCAGCCTCCAATTAAAATTCTTTGTTCTTGCTCATTCACTAGTTAGCTGTGTGATTTTGGGCAAGTAATTACTCTATGTTCTTTCATTTCCTCGTGACTAAATCATGGAATATCCTGACCTTACCTTCTTTACAGGGGTTTAGAGAACTGAATGTGAACTGAACGTTCAGAGAACTGAAAGTAAATCTTAAGAGGACACGGAAAATGGCAAAACCAAAAGCAAACCCCAAACATCCCGTACACATAGCACGGTGAAGACAGCAAGCTGGCCATGACCATGTCATGCTCTCTCTGCAGAACACATACGACATCTGGTAGAAACAGGTCCTTAAACCAGGAAGGTCACAAAGACCTGCACTTCAAAGCATCTGTTCTGCCCATGAACCTGAACATCAACCTGGGCACCCCCTCCATCAACCTGGGCACCCCCTCCTTGTCACCCCTGAACACTTACTAGGGCTCTGTGCGAAGGCTTTTGCACCTTACCACTTCTTCACAACCTTGAAGGTGGACACGGTGGCACAGGGAGGAAGCTGAGGCTGGTCATGCTCATGGCCACACAGCTGACAAGTAGTCTGGCATGCAACTGGACTCAAGAGCATGAACTACCAGAGCTGGGCTCTCCAGCCCCACCCAGGCTATTTCACTCCTTGGCTGTGAGAAGCTGCGGGGTCACACCAGGCCCTCAGAAGTCACCTGCCTTCAATTAGGCAAGCCACTGTGACTCCATCGGACACGGGGAGGGGACCCAAGCCCCAGAGGAGTTCAATCAGCCGTAGGCAAGTGGCAGAGGGAGACCTGGCCCTGGGCACGGAGACCCCTCTATAGTACTGTACCTTTAACCTGCACGGTGTCCTCATAGTTGCCCTGGACAGTGGCATCCGTGCTGGGCGTTGAGCACTTGTAGTGGCCTTGGTCCGGGGTCTGGACGTTCCGTATGTGCAGCTCCACGGCGTCATTGGCCGTTCGCCTCAACAGGATGTCGCCCCTCTGCAGCCGCTCCCGGTACGGCTGGGCTGGGAAGCCCGCCTCCCAGGTGCTGGCCAGCTCCACAAAGCTGCTGCCCGAGGACGAGAAACTCCAGTCGAAATTCTGCTCGCTGGGGCCGTCATAGTCGCTGACGTTGCAGGGGATGATGAGCTCGGTGCCCACCACCCGGACCAGGGTCCCCGCAGGGACTCTCACCACGCGCCCCCGACACAGCGCTGCAACGACAAGAGAACAGAGGCGGGTCTTCCGTCACAGAAGGGCTTCCCAGGATAAAGGCTGCGGCCCCGTGGGGGCTCCTGCTCACAGGCACAGAAGCACAGAGGCGGCCGGTGGTGTCTGTGCGGGAGGAGGCTAGGCCCGTCCCTAGGAGGATGAGCCGGAACACAACCCTGAAATGAGCACCTCTCACTCAGCCAGCTCCCTGGGATTGAAGGGGAGGTCGGTGAGGTATTAAAACAGGCAAAACAAAAAAACCTGGCCAGCCTCTCCTTTCTGCTGCTGTCCAACACGGCACATCACTTGGGCTGATGGAGAACTGCGTGTGCAAAAGGAAAGCACACAGCTAATCCAGGGGTTACATGTCTGCCCACCCTGCATCAACCCTCAGCCCTACAGACCACTCCCTGCGACCTGCGAGACCAGATTCACAAGAATAGTCGCCAATTCCTAAACCCCAGAGTGGCTTGCTGATAAAATGATTTAACTCCTGTTATCTGACATTGCCTATAAATTACTTTTAAAATATGATGATTCTACCAAGTATTAATTCTCTATTTTCTGGCTCATTTCCTTCTCTCTACTCTTCCCTCTGATCTAAACTCAGAGGGAGACGGGGCAGTACAAAGGGAGCGAGCCTGGCTGGCCGCTGGGCCTTGTGAGCGAGGCAGTGCTGGCTCCCGGGTGTTCCCAGGCACAGGCCCCTCTTGGAGCCCTGGGGACTGGTGACTGCGAGTCCTTTAAGATGTCCTCACCTCACGGCAGTGAACTTCAGAACAATGTCACGGTGCAATTACTGCCTAACTTTACATTTCAGTTAGGACCAGAAAGAGCACTGTGGCTCCTTCTTGATGCTCAGTGCACACCCGGAGCGATAAGCCACCCGGGAGAAGGCGTGGGCTCCGACACCAAGGAGACCTGTGTTTCGATCAGACAGCTTCCTCAGCTCTAAGACGGGGCAAGAAGGCTTCATTTTATGAATGTAATAAAGTGCCTAATTGAGGTTCTGCCGCGTAGCAAGGGTTCAATAAAAGAGGAACTTTCTTTTCAGTCTTGAGTTTTTTTTTTAAATCATTTATTACAAATGCAATAGTGTCCCCTACCCAGAATTCAGACATGGAAGCCCAAGCCCCAGGACCTCGGAACGGGACGTTGGGAATGGGACTCTGAAGGTGTAACTGGCTGTGATGAGGTCACAGTGGAACAGGGTGCGCCTCTAATGCAAAGTGGCTGCCATCCTTAAACAGGGTGTAATGGGCACAGACATGCACCCCAGGAGAACACCTGTGAGGGTGAAGGCAGAGGCGGCGAGGAGACTGCAAGCCAAGGAACACCAAAAACTGCCCCTGCCGCCACCAGGCTCTGGGGCGGGTAGACTGCCGACTCCACCATCTTCAACTGTACAGAAACAGAATTCGGTCCTGTATGTTCCCCTTTTGTGGGACTTTGTTGTAGCAGCTCCAGCCAATGTCTTAATGCTGCTTGGTTTTTTGTGGGTTATATTCATGTTTTTCAAACTCTGGGTCGTCACCCTTCTGAGGGCTGTGAAATGAATGTGTAATGGTTGTGACCAGCACATGTAAGAGTTCCAATGAAACTAAATAGAATGGAAAGTGTTGGGGTGCACCGCCCTTAGCAAGGGGTACATGCTGTTTCATTATGATTTATTAAGTAAAGAAAACTATGTGTGAATCGGATTACCATGAAAGAAAACCTCATATCTTGATTTGGGTCAGGGTTAAAAAAAAAAAAAAAGTTGAGGAGCACTTTCTTAAAGCTATTTCTGGCTTTCTTCACCCATGGCCATTCACCTTGAGAAGGGAAAGGAAGTGGCCATGCAAGAAAAGAGCGTGGGAGGATCATATGCCTGCTGGGGCCCAGCTGGGGCCAGGGCCAGCCTGAACTCCAGTTCTAAGAAAAGCTGCAGAACCCTGCATCACAGGCCCTCCTTACAGATAGTTGCTGCTGGTGGTAACACCGCTTGTGTGTGCAGGCCTATCTCCCTGCAGAAAACGGAGCAACGAAGCCCATATACTGTGGGAGAGCTGCTGGAACAGGCTACTGCTCCCTCCCCTCCCCTCAAGGCAACACCCCCGTCCCCACGCCTCCCATTCCCACTTGTACCCTGCGACAGCACTCCCTGTCCCTCAGGTGGGGCTGACCCTACACCTTCTATCCCAGAGCCAGAAGCCAGGAAAATCAGACATTCCCCAGCTCATATATGCTGCAGCTTCTGGTCCAGACACCTCCACTTCCGCTAGAATTGAGGCTCACTCGGACCACGGGAGCCATCCACATATCAGAGACCCAACAGGGCCAGAGAGGGGGACGGAGTGCAACCCACTGACCCGATGCAGCTTCTGAGCTGCGGGACCCAGCCACTCCTTCTGGACCATTTCACACACACACACACACACACACACCCTCTTACCAAGGACACTTCAGTTTCTTCCAATTCTACTCACACCCACCCTTCCCGCTTCATATTTTTAAAGCTCATTTCTGTCACTGGTATCTCAAAACAGCACTGAAGTAATATGACAATACCTCAAAAAGTTTGTGAAAAATGGTAACATAAGATATATCTGGGGCCGGCGCCGTGGCTCACTAGGCTAATCCTCCACCTAGCGGCGCCGGCACACCGGGTTCTAGTCCTGGTCGGGGCGCCGGATTCTTTCCCTGTTGCCCCTCTTCCAGGCCAGCTCTCGGCTGTGGCCAGCGAAGGCAGTGGAGGATGGCCCAAGTGCTTGGGCCCTGCACCCCATGGGAGACCAGGAGAAGCACCTGGCTCCTGCCTTCAGATCAGCGCGGTGCGCCAGCCGCAGTGCACCAGCCGTGGCGGCCATTGGAGGGTGAACCAACAGCAAAAGGAAGACCTTTCTCTCTGTCTCTCTCTCTCATTATCCACTCTGCCTGTTAAAAAAAAAAAAATATATATATATATATATATGTGTGTGTATATATATATATATATATCTGGGGGAATTAGCAACGTGGCACAGCAAGTAAAACCACTGCACTGGGATGCTGGCATCCCATACTGGAGTGCCAGTTGAGGCCTAGCTACTTCATTTCAAACCACCCCCTGCTAATGCATCCGGGACAGTGGCCCAAGTGCTTGGGCCTCTGCCACCCACATGGGAGACCAGGATGATGCAGTTCCTGGCTCCTGGCCTTAGCCAGACCTGGCTATTGTGCCTATCTGGGAATGAACCAGCAGAGAGAAGATCTCTCTCACCCTCTCCTTTTCTCTTTCACTCACCTTTCAAATGAACGTATCTTTAAAACACACACACACACACATTTGGGATGGACACTGTGGTACAGAGTGAGTTAACACTGCTTGGGATGCTTGCATCCCATATCAAAGCGCTGGTTTCAGTCCCAGCTCCTCTGCTTCCGATCCAGCCCCCTGCTAATGTGTCTGGAGAGCAGCAGATGATGGCTCAGTACTTGACGTGCTGCCATCCATGTGGGAGATCCACATGGAGTTTCAGGTTCTTGGCTTCAGAGTGGCCCAGCCTCAACTGTTGCAGCCATTTGGGGAATGAAGCAGCAGATGGATGATCTCTGTCTCTATCTGTCATTACACCTTTCAAATAAATACATCGTTAAAAAAAACTGGTACAAAATGTTGCAATTCATGTGTATAGTTTTTTCATGATACATATTTTCCACACCCTTTTTGAAGACCACTCATATGAGTACTTAGCACCAGCAGTGATCACCTCTCTGAAGTCATCATCATCATGATTCACAAAGAGATGAGCACCTATTTTACATTTCCTTTATTTGTAAAGCAGAAAGAGAGAGAGAGAGAACACTTCCATCTCCTAGTTCACCCCCCAAATGCTGACAATGGCCAGGGCTGAGCCAGGCCAAAGCTGGTAGCCAAGAACTCGACCCACGTCTCCCGCGTGGCTATGGGTGACAGGAATCCAGTCCCTTGAGCCATCACCTGCTGCTTCCCAGCATCTACTGTAGCAGGAAGCTGGAGTCTTGAGCCAGAGCCAGGCATCAAACCCAGGCACTCCAATACCGGTCGTGGGCATCTTACCAGCAGGCCAGACCCTGCCCCTGCATTTACTTTTTTTTTGACAGGCAGAGTGGACAGTGAGAGAGAGACACAGAGAGAAAGGTCTTCCTTTGCCGTTGGTTCACCCTCCAATGGCCGCCACGGCCGGCACACCGTGCTGATCCGAAGCCAGGAGCCAGGTGCTTCTCCTGGTCTCCCATGGGGTGCAGAGCCCAAGCACTTGGGCCATCCTCCACTGCCTTCGCTGGCCACAGCCGAGAGCTGGCCTGGAAGAGGGCAACCGGGACAGAATCCGGCACCCCGACTGGGACTAGAACCCAGAGGATTAGCCTATTGAGCCACAGAACCGGCCCCCCTGCATTTACTTTTAGAGAGGACCAGGCAATTCAGTCTCCCCGGGAGACAGCTGGGAGCATCGTGGTAGAGCTGCTTCGGAGGCCACACGGCCCAGTGTTTCATCTCCTTATGCGGGAGTCTCCTCGGCTGGGAAACGCAGACCTGCCGGGAAGATGGAGGCAGCTACTGCGCCGACAGCACTCATGGCTGAGCCTGGCACGTGGCAGGGGTCTGCAGCTACCCGCAGGGAAGGCTGTCCCTAGAACTAACCTGACCGTCACCATTCACCCTGCTTCCTGGGCAAGGTTCCCAAAGGAGTTTCCCAGCAGGTGAATCTGCTCAATGCCCATCCCTTGCCAAGACGCTGGCGAGGGTCGATGAGACTGCCTGCAGGACCTCCAGGCGTCAGCCAGTGCAGCTCTTGTACTGTCTCCGTCTTTATTCTTAGAGACTGCAGCTTTGGGAACTGACCCTGCCCCTTGTCTCAACTCTCCAATCCTCCTTCCACATGGCTTCCAAAATCATCTTCTTTGTTTTTTTATTTTTATTTATTTATTTATTTATTTTGACAGGCAGAGTTAGACAGTGAGAGAGAGAGAGAGAGAAAATGTTCCTTTTTCCATTGGT